GGGTGGGAGGATGGGAGGGGTGGGGGTGTGTATGTGCATGTGTGCGTGTGTGTGCGTGTGTCTGTGTGTGTGCATGTGTCAGGGTTCTCCAAGCTTTTTAATTATAGCATGGGGGTGCTGCTTTTACGGTCCTAGTTGCAAATCGCCGGCTATGGCATTTACAGCCTATATTATGGCCTAATTTAGCATGGCGGCTATGATATTTAGAGTGGCGGGTGCATTTTAGGATGACGGGGCTCGACGATAGCCTGGCGGGCCGCCAGGCTATAAGTGCTCTTGGAGAAGCCTGTGTGTGCGTGTGTGTCTCTGTGTGTGTGTGTGTGTGTGTCAGTGTGTGTGCGTGCGTGCGTGTCAGTGTGTTTGTCTGTGTGCGTGTGTACGTGCGTGCGTGTCTTTGTTAGTGTGCGTGCGGGCATGTTCAAAGTTTAACGAACCGAGCATGTCGAGAATTGATCCATTAGTGGTAAATGATTCAATTCACTGAGGGAAGGGGTTGTAGGTAATTGGCTTATATGCCTGACAGATGTCCACACCTCCCTTGACATTTGTTGCTAGGTCAGCAAAGCTCGACCAGCGTACGCCAAATTATCCATATTGCGGCAGTTCCTGGCTAAGCATCGTATTTCGAGCCCCCTATAGCAATAATTATTGGCTAAAGTTGCTTGTCAGTGACACCAGGTGGATGGCTGAATCAAACATATCTTGAGGAAGCTGGGCTGGTTCGCAACAAGGAGCTAAATATAACAAGGAGAGGAAGCGCCGCCATATCTGGCCCAAATCTTTGCCATATTTGGTCATATTGGCCTAGAACAGATTAGTGTTCTATTGTCTCTGGGTTCGGGTCTGCACAGCCGTTTCAGCTGATTATGGTCCATAGATGGCGCCCTTGAGGCGAAAAGCACACAGCCAATCTGCTTCCTCTTCTTGTTATATTTAGCTCCTTGGTCAGTATAAGCTTTACTGTCGTACAATTCCCCGCCAGTATTGCGAGGTGCGTAATACTAGAATGCCAATCACTCTGCCCGTCTGCCGCCAGAGATCAAGAGCGATCATGTTTCGAGTCTTAATGCGACCCGCTATCTACCAATCTTCTGTGCGTGTGCGCGCGCGTGCGTGCGTGCGTGCGTGCGTGCGTGCGTGCGTGCGTGCGTGCGTGCGTGTGTGTGTGTGATTCAAGTATACATGTATTAGCACATGTATTAGATGTGGGTGTGCCTTCAGTCTAGTAGAAAGTCCGACGTGTGTTCTCCATGTTGCAGATCTGTGGCTTTCTCAACTGCTTGCAGCACACGTATTATAAGTGACTGTGCTGTAGTATAGAGTGGACATTCACAGCAGTGTTCTAGTCGAGCCCGCACCCCCCCCCCCCGAGTCCGAATCCGAGTCCAATTTTGATTAAAAAAATTGGGGGTCACAGAACGACAAGGCCGCTCACTTCTATGTATGTGTTTGTTCAAAAATGGGGGTGTCTCCCATTTGGGTAGGAGTTTTAGTTTTAAATTCTTGTAAACTGCGTGTTTACAATACGTACAGTTATGTACTATGTAGTGGCCTCGAGCCGGCCTCGACCCGAGTCCTCGAGTCCGAGTCTGAGTCATTGCACTCAGAGACCAAGGCCGAGGCTGAGACCAAAGAAACCGGCCTCGAGGCCGGTCTCGAGACCAACAACACGGATTCACAGTGATGTTCTCAATGCATGTGTTCTCAACGCATGTGTTCTCAACGCATGTGTTCTCAACGCATGTGTTCTCAACCATGTGTTTCTCAACGCAATGGTGTTCTCACCATGTGTTCTCAACGCTGTGGTTCTCAACGCGTGTGTTCTCAACGCATGTGTTCTCAACGCGTGTGTTCTCAACGCATGTGTTCTCTCTTGTGTCCAGATCTGCGGATTTTCACTGGATGTGTGGATGGCAAACATCTGGATTCCTTCTATAAGGAGTCGACCTGGTTCAAGACCGCGGCGCGAAACCGCCACACCGGGACAGTACACCAGCAGGACTTCCCAGGACAGCCAGCAGGGGGTGCCTCCCATGGGAGGTGTCGGAGGTCCACCGGCGGGATGGGTGCCCCCCGGAGACATGTGAGAAGGAGATTCTACCGGAGAGGAGCGAAGAAAGACGAGGGAAGGGAGAGGAGGGGGAGAAGGCTGGGATGAAGGGGTGTGGCACCGTTTAGAACATCTAAGAAGGAGATGCCATCAGCAGAGGAGACGAAGGGGGAAGAGGGAGAGGAGGCGGGAGAAAGGCTTGTGGCGCCGTTTCCATCGGGGACTTTGAAAAAAAGGTGGTGCACCTCTCCCCTTTCCCCCTCTCCCTTTCCCCTCTCCCTTCCCCCCCTCTCCCCGTCTCCACGTCTTCCCCTCCTCCGCCGCCGGTTGTCCCCGCGGCGTTTCCGGACGTGAGACAAATGGGCCGCGCGATCAGTCCTCCTGTACGCCACCTGTAGGCCGGCAGCGAACCAGCCTCCAAGTTTATCTCGTAGGCCACCGCGGCATGATTGTTGCGCGATTCTAGCCCGTGGCATCGAGGAGAGCTGGGGATTGTTGGGACTTTGTGGGCGTGTCTTCTGAGATTATGTGTCTAACATCCAAATGCTCGTGCAAAGCGCTCGCGCGTGCACGAGCGAAGCGAATCGCAAAATAAAGGGAGGTGAGCCTGTGTTTAGCACGCTACTGTACAGAGACTCCCCGACTTACGAAGCAGGTTCGGTTTCGAGCGTCCGTTCGCAAGTCGAACATGCGTACATACGTATACAGTATTGATACAGTAGGACACATTGGGCACTCAATTTGTGGATCATGTGCACACAGGTGATCGATGCCCCTAGATAACACGCTATTTGTTTACATCTCGGCGCTTTCCCGCGCTACATGCCGCCACCACGTGGCGGATCTGCGAACTAAACCTTGCGCCTATTTTTTTTTCGACTTCAGCGCAAATTGTTCGTATCACCGAAAGTTCGTAAGTCGGGAGGATCTGTACTTGCGCCCTTACCACCAGCACCACCCCTGATTGTTAGGCACGTAGACAGTATTAGGCGATGTTAGTACATAGGTATTGATTTCATCAAATTATCCTGATAGATTTGACGGCAATCGCCAGAGTACGCGTGTTACTATCCCAAAATCAAAATAGAGAGTGATTTATGTTAGGTGCCATTCTGCCCATGATTTCGCAGTTCTTGTGGTTTAGGCGTGCGCACATGCGTTGTTAGGATCGTTTTGTTCGTAGTGGAGCGTACGATTGCGATCGATCGTTACGTTCCGAGTTGTTGTTGGCGTGATCACAATAGTAGAGTTCAGGAATACATGCACGTGACGACGTAGGAAATGTCACGCGATTTCTCTACTAGACGTTGAAACACTCGATGTTGTCTTTTGGTTCGCTATGTAACGGTCGTGGTAGTGTAACGGTAGACAGATTTGTGTCACTTGTGATCATGTGGTCACTTTTGTTTCGCGTATGCATTTACGTGCACATGCTTGAAGCTAGCGTGTAAATGCACGAGGTTGTAAATCGAATGTCTTTACACCGTCTCTCAATCCAGCATGTAATTGTATAGAGTCTACCGGTAAAGCGTGATCAAATTTGCATTTTCGTTGGTTAGCAGTACCCAGTCATCAGTGTCTAGGATGAATTTCCCCTAGCTTCTGTCAATTCGTTTCGTTGGATAGTGGTACCCCCAGTACATCAGTATCATAGGATGAATTACCTATGCTTCTGTCATTCGTTTCGTTGGATAGTGGTACCCAGTTCATCAGTGTCTAGGATGAATTCCCCTAGCTTCTGTCAATTCGTTTCGTTGGATAGTGGTACCCAGTTCATCAGTGTCTGGGATCAATTCATCTAGCTTCTTCATCTTAAGTTTAACACCAGGGGCGTGTACAGGATTTGTAGCAGGGGGGGGGGGTCTAACCGTAACCCAAACTTGGGAGGACGTGAAGGAGGGGTCTGGGGTCCCCCAGAAATTTTTTTGAAATTAGGCTCCCTCAGATGCGTTTTCTGCGCGAGCGAGGGGGGGGGTCCGGACCCCCTGGACTCCCCCCCTGTACACGCCCCTGAACACCTTGGCTGGTTATTTGCCTAGTGTCTGTGATGCGTAGGCTGGGATAGGTTGATAGTCTCTCTGTGACTTGTTAGCTCTAGCTGTGACACTTAGGCGCTGCCATTTAACCGCTAGGTAGTGTGATAAAAGATGTATATGGTTTTTAAAAGCTTTGACGTTTAGGCGTGATTTCTAGACTCTTATAACCACTAGATAGTGTGCTAATATATATACATATATATATATATATATATGGTTAGAGTAGACATTGATTTTGGCATATATATCTATCTATACCTAGCAATCTATATATATATATATATATATATATATATATAAAAACGAAGTCAAGGTATACATGTATACATACGTACATGTACACATACCTATATATGTGTATGTACATATAGTATATTGAATCGGTAAAATCGTACGTGTTATGGAATATTGTACTGTAGGATTTGTAGACTATTGTGAACGTAAGGCAAGTTAACTATACGGCTAGCGTAGGTGTACGGAGGGAGGGAAGGAAGGCTTCATCTGTGTGTTTATTAATTATGAGAAGAATGGTGACACTATAGGGGCGGATCCAGAGGGTTTGGGTGACCAGTTTCCATAGTTCTAGTCAGAGCAAGGGAATTTTTAAAAAATTAGGCTATATTTGGTGCATTCTGGTGAATTTTGAGGGTCAATTCTGAAGATACCCAGCCTGTGACCGGTTTCTGGAAACCGGTGCAAACCGGCCTAAATCCGCGCCTGGACTATAGGGTGGAGAGTTCCACTCTAGTGTGCTGTAGCCAGCAGACTGTGGAACGCCACTGTGTTTTGTCGTTTCTGCTATGTGCATTTGTTTCTCCTATATTATGTGCGTGTGTTTTCGCCTCTACGGAATTACTTTTAGCAATTATTGTTGACGTTCGTAAGCGATTTTATTTTGCGCTGGATGTGCAGGCGTGGCTGCAGTTGCTGCCGCTTTGAAAAGTGCATTTGCTTTGAATTATTCATTCCGGAATGTGATCGAAATCTGAAATCAGCATTTGCTGGCATGAGCAATGTCTACGGATGTGTCAGCAGGTGTAGCTGGCACATCAGGCAATGTCTCGTTTCGCTGGCAACAGTAACTGGCACACTAGGCAATGCCTCGTTCGCTGGCAACAGTAACTGGCACATCAGGCAATGTCTCGTTCGCTGGCAACAGTAACTGGCACGTGAGGCAATGCCTCCTTCGCTGGCAACAGTAACTGGCATGTCAGGCAATGCCTCCTTTGCTGGCAACAGTAACTGGCACGTGAGGCAATGCCTCCTTCGCTGGCAACAGTAACTGGCACGTCAGGCAATGCCTCTTTCACTGGCAACATATCACAGCATTAGATATATACGTGTGTGTCCCAGCTGTTCACGGCCACCGTGGCACAGTAGGTTAGGGGGCTCCTAAGAACAAGAGAGATATTCCTACGGGTAGTTCTACCAATAAGGCCTTCACTTTGCCTGTAGCAGAGTGAATGGGGTCTATTGGTGGAGCTACTTGATAAAGAGGCCGATATTGTTAAATCTAACATTCTCACGGATGGGGTTTGATTAGGTACATGGCATTTGTGTAAAAACGTCGGTCATAACTCGGAGTGTTTTGGTCCCCCCTCCTATGGCCCCCAGGGGGCATCCCCAGCCTTGTGACTTCATAAAGAATGTTCTTCACTGTCCGTGTGACTGTAACGTTGATGGACGTTTAACATTGATCCAGTAGACGGATCAACATTGAATGCGGATTGCAGTAGGTGTTCGTATTTCACTATTAACCGGAAAAGGAAAAAGAATTCCAGTATCGGGTGACGGAAATCGAGAAAAATGGCCTCGTAGCAACGCGATATTTATTTATGCGGCTGTGGAAAAAAAATTCCTGTGACCTTTCTTTTGTCTACGGCCAGATTCAGCCCGTGTTTGCTACCAAGCAACCGTAGCGTGACCATCGTCGTTCAATGTTACTCTGTATATATGATGTTAGGGTTTACAGGCCGTCGGCCATGTTGGTAACCGCGGCTGCTTGTAGCGGTTGCCGTGGCGACGGCCACTCGTTAGGGTAGCAAGACCTGGCTGTAGACGCGCGCATAGATAGATTATATTCTATATATAGATAATATATATATATACACATATATATATATTATATTCTCTCTATAATACGTATATATTCTATATATAGATAATATATATATATACACATATATATATATTATATTCTCTCTATAATACGTATATATTCTATATATAGATAATATATATATATACACATATATATATATTATATTCTCTCTATAATACGTATATATTCTATATATAGATAATATAGTCTGTATTATACCCTACTGATAGGGTATCTATGGAAGTGCGTGGTAAGGCTGGATAGGTTGTTCTAGTGTGTGAGTAATAATTAGGTACGAAAACTTTAACGCAACTTCCAGCCTCCGCCACCAGGTAGCGTACGTAACATCACGACAGTCGCTGTAAGCTTCTTCGGTCTCTACCACGCCACCTAGTGGCAGCATCTTACAACTCAACTCTACCCGTGTAACCCCCTCGCACCACAAAAGTTCTTTTCATGTCGTAGGGCGAAACACGACAAAGATTAGCTCTCGTACCAAGACCCTCGTTGCTACACGGGCTGTGGTGACGGGGACTATAGTACCAGGAGTATATAATATAGATATCTTGTATGCTGTATATACTGTATAGATATGTTATATATATACTATATATATATATGTATATGTGTATATATATATATATATATATATATATTATACACTCCAGATAGTACTACAGCTAGTCACGAATAGAGCTGGTTGCTGGTTGAAATGTTGCCGCAGCACAGACCCCACGATCATGCCTCCCCATGTTGTAAGATGACTACCATATTTCATCAAAGACTCCACGATCATGTACCTTGTGTTGTAGGGTGTGCTATCTATCTGTCACTCTGTGCAGTCTCCCTCTCTATCTTATCGTTAGTACCCCCCCTGTGCAAGACCGACGAAGTTCACAGCAGAAGCGATGCGATGAAATGCGATGAATGTTTGTGAACGCACGATGAGCACTGACAATAAATGACCTTGTAGCTACGGCAAGGGAGGCTGCAAATTCCATGGCTTACTGTTACGAAACTGCGCATCACTCGCTGAGCGCGAACGTATATTAAACGCTTTCCACGTAAATATTTAACACTCGACACTACAGCAGCTGTTGCATTACTCAGAACATACTAGGAACGGCTATGGCTTATGAAATTGGTCCTGAGGTGCTCCATTGAAATATATAAGCGGCACAGTCTCTTGGAAGAGGAGTTTGACTTTGTTTTTTTTATTAACTGTTTCTATTCTATAATAAATCGACAGAGAGTAGACAGCGTGTGAAGGTCTTGCATAACCAGTTTTATTTTCTTCATTTCAATTTTATTTCTGCGTTAACAAGTCTTGGAGGTTGGTAATTATAACAGTTGATCACAATGACTAAATATTTCCACTTTTGTTGCTCGACTGCTAGCAGCACCGGGCCAATGCTACTACTACCAGTCATTGAACAGGTCTCTCTCTCTCTCTCTCTCTCTTTCTCTCTCCCTGCCACACCCACCTATATACTCATGAGTAGCTACTAAATCACAGACACACCTTCACAAATTCACGTCTTTTACAGCGGCACAAGAGCCCCGGGCGTCTGTCACTTGTTGCCATGGTGATGCGCACACCCAGGTTTCTTTCGATGAAGATGCTGCCTTATTATAATAATAATTATTATTGTTATTATTATTATTAGTACTACTATTATATGCTACCGACACAAAGTATACAACGTCAACGTCAACCACCAATAGAGGAGGGTACATATATTTACCCACCAAACAAGACATTTTCCACTGCCAGTGTTCCACGCTGTAAGATACTACTAGACTTACTTACTAGTGCCTCCTGTGCCTACCTTACACTGAACGAGAATACACTCATCTGGTCTCATGATAAAGTGAACATACATTATATTCCTCATCTACACATACATAATGCACACATACATGTATATTGCCAGCGTCCTATATCACTGAGGGGTAAAGATAAGAATACATAGGCAAGACCTATATGTCTATGAGCAGGAGTAAATAATCACGAACTTATTTAGAACAAAGAACAAATTTACTCCTGCTACGAGTGAAACCTAACATAGTAAACGTCAAGCTACGAGTGTAAACGTACTTTCACATCTTGTTTACCGTTGACCTTAAGCAAATAGTGAAGGTCACTTGCACGAATGGAGATTGTGGTCGGACCATGTCTCTAATTTTACTTCTATGATAATATAAAAAATTTGAATGAATGAATAGGTTTCCTACGTCCTAAGACACCCTACCCTCCTCAACCTGGTACCCATGGATGCCGTTTATCCATTTATCAATGTACTTACTTAAAACACTACAAAAAGGGACCTCGTCCATCCCTTCCCTGCCTCCATGCTACCCGACCCCCAAAATCTTAACCCCCTTGCCCACATCAGAGCAGGTGTTAACAAGCTGCTAATAAATATACTATTATCTACATATATTTCCGTAGAAGAACTACGTATACACAGACATCTCTTACTTTCCTGCACCCACACACTGACTCGTTCCACCAAATCGTAGTTGACACTTGGAAGTTGGAACATTGCTTTTCACAGCACCGATAACGAAATCAAAACCAATTTAAACCAGGTCCTGGACGTCGTACATAAAATAATATCAATAACGTATATGAATAAAATTGTTGCAAGCTGTCTTCCTTGTTCTGACACTGCTTGTATTGTATAATAAAGTTTCGTAAAATAAATACTGCATGTTATGTTGTGTTTTAACTCCACAATCCACACAACTATGTAATGATACTGACACATGAAATAACAACTATGTAATGATACTGAAACATGAAATGATCCCTGAAACACTGTGTAATGATACTGACATGAAATCACCTGTGAAACACAACTGTGTAATGATACCGACACATGAAACGATCCCTGAAACACAACTATGTAATGATACTGACACATGAAATAACAACTATGTAATGATACTGGCACATGAAACGACCCCTGAAACACAACTATGTACGTAATGATACTGGCACATGAAATGGCCCCTGAAACACAACTATGTAATGATACTGACACATGAAATAACAACTGTGTAATGATACTGACACATGAAATAACAACTATGTAATGATACTGACACATGAAATAACAACTGTGTAATGATACTGACACATGAAACGATCCCTGAAACACAACTATGTAATGATACTGACACATGAAATAACAACTGTGTAATGATACTGACACATGAAACGACCTGTGAAACACAACTATGTAATGATACTGACACATGAAATAACAACTATGTAATGATACTGACACATGAAATAACAACTATGTAATGATACCGACACATGAAACGACCTGTGAAACACAACTATGTAATGATACTGACACATGAAATAACAACTGTGTAATGATACTGACACATGAAACGACCTGTGAAACACAACTGTGTAATGATACTGACACATGAAACGACCTGTGACACACAACTATGTAATGATATAAGCGATACATGATTCATGATGTGGAACAAAGCTATGTAGAATGGAACCTGTATATAAGGGTAACTCAAGGAACCCCCAAAAACTGTCCTTTCTAGACAGGAATCTGTTCTATATATATGACGTTTCACTATATAACTCAAACTAAAAGAAAATATCAAAAGTGTCCTTTATAGACAGGCGTTTGTATTGCCGAGGTGAGCACTAACTAACGCTTCACAATAAATGATAACAATAAATGAAAATCCCTCCACAAAACGCACCCAAAGTCACTAATCAATGCCGGATGTAATTTTTGGATGTCTTGCCGATTCAACTTAAATAGAAAATGTAATTTCTAAAATATGATCAGCAGTAGTCAAAGGAACAGAACACCTACCTATATTCGATATAAGATCATGCACTATTGCACAACTGCAATTGTATAACCTCAAGCTTCTCATCACTTCTTATCTACTACTCTCACATCGCCTACTTTGTTGAATGGCTCACCCTAATTATTTGTTTCTTTCATAAAGCAGAAATAGTTTACATCAACACAATTCAAGCTTTAAGCCAGCTCTAAACTTAATGCATTTCTGATATTGCAGTCGATCTACTAACAGATGCTCCGACTATGGTACTGAATATGGTAATATAGTTAGACTACATTCACTGGATTTCAATACTGTCTATACTTCACTGCACTCTACCTATAAGAACGACCCCCCCCCCATACCCGCAACACTAGCCAACTACTCTCACTCGCACGCCCCCCTACCAATCGACCTTCCCACTTGATAGACAGGCAGCTCTAGCCAATCACTGTTGCGAAAGAACGTTCTAAAACACAATACTTAGCAACGAAGTGCATCAAAGTCGACAATATGGCGTGCACGCGCGAAAGACACGTACAAACTGAACTCAAACTTGATCGACCGAGCAACAATATCCAAGGCGTGGCGTGGTCATATCAATCTGATAATTATATCGATCTGACGAACAGGTGAATTGACTGACACGAATCGCTGTGGGCTGCCGAACGCGTGACGATCCGTCGACTTTCGGAGATGCTAGGGTTGAGACGCTAGTCGTGAAGCGGGGGCCAATAGTACGGTGACGCGGACACACCCAAGACAAACTCTGCAGGCGACCCATGGCTCACCTTTGGGACGTCCATCGTTGTCTATTCTCGTCTGTTCTGCACTTGTAGTTATCAACCTGCAATAGATAGACGACTAGTTAGTGACTCTAAGTTAGAAATTGCAAAAGGATGCGGGATACCTGGTACTTGAGGATTGCGATCCGTCAATACACGACAAACTGCAGCTGAAGGGGTCGTTGTCGTATCAGGTACTACAGATATGTACCCGAGGTACATATATGTATACACAAAGTGTACCAGGCTTGTACTACAGAAGCGTACCCTAACCCTAACCCTAAACATACCTCATATAAAAAAATTTTAAATAATACTAAACAACCTAAAACTACCTCGGGTACATATATGTAGTACCTGATACGACAACGACCCTTCGTGCCAAACTTGATCATAAAACGTTCTATTATTCTCGTTGAACCTTAGAGTAAGTTGATCCGATGTCACGATAATATGAGAGAATATGCATGTTATGCAAATTAATGTTAATGCAAATTAATTAAACACTGTGACGGGGACGGGTGGGCGACGAGGGTTTCATACATGATTACACGACGATTTACTGCTGTAACAGGCTTATTTAAAGTTATTAATCTATGTGGGGAGGGACAGCCTGCCCACCCCTTTCCTCCCCTGTGTGCACTACTAACGCTGAAGGGGTGGTTGTCGTATAGGGTAATACATATATATACCGAGGTACATATATGTATACATAAATGTAATATAATGCTAGTCTAGGGAGTCGCCTACGCCTACTCCCTAACCCTAACCCTAAACATATCAGATAGTTACCTCGGGTACATATATGTAGTACCCTATACGACAACGACCCTTCGTGCTAGACTAAC